CATTATAATAAATGGTAGTTTCTTGTTAAATACAAAAACCTGGTCAGTGTTTTCTGTCAATTTGACAGGTAAACTGGGAGACTTGGAATAATTTGATTAAATCTTTAAGTTTTGTGATGACCCTGGGAATGGGAGGCCTCAAGTTTCAGTGTATTTTCCTAAGTGGATTGTGATACTGCCTGAGCCCAAATTTCCTCTGAGTTCCTCTGAAATCTCAACCTGAGGCGGTTCCATGTGCTGCCCTGTGGAGGCAACGTTGAGGACTTGTCAATGAACAGACTGTGTACTGAGAGGTAGCCGTGCAGGCTGTAAACAGGAGCAAATTAGCATGCTCTTCACCCACATATGGTGTGCAGTTGGACACACATTCGAAATGCACCATGAGGTGGAATTTCTTCAGCCAAAGGGTGGCTAATCTGTGAACTCATTGCAGAGGCCAAGTCATTCAGTGTATTTAAGATTCAGTTAAATAGGTTCTTGATGGTAAGGGGTTCAAAGGTTACAGAGAGAAGGCAGGAGAGTGGAGTTGAGAAATATTTTAGGCATCATTGAATGATGGAGCAGACTTGATGGGCTGAATGGCTTAATTCTGCTGTTACATCTTATGGTCTAATGGCCACACTGATGGCTGACATTACCATGAAGGTCTGAGCTTATCGACCTCTCCCCTCGCCTGAGGTGTGGTGACCATCAGGTTAAACCACCACCAGTTATCTCTCTGATGAGAGAGCAGCTCTGTGGTCCCCTGGGACTATGACAACCTTGCCTTTACCTTTTACTCAATCAGAAGAGTCACCAATTTAATCCCTGATCTCGGCCAGATTGGAGGCTGGCCTTCAGCAACAGGCTTGAGCTAAGGAGAGGAAGATTCAGTCAGGGTTCCTACTCTGTGTTGCTGTCCCATCATCATGTAGTCCGATGGCAGGATCAGACAGGGCTGTAATACCCTGCATTGTTTACCTGCCTGACATTGTTCATGGACTGGACTTGTGAACACTGTGTATAATAAAAGCAGAAACTCCTGGGAATAAACTGCAGAGAGAAAACAGTTAACATTTCAAGTGAATGAGCTTTCATCGGAACTGATAAACTGTTTAGGCAGATACCAGAACAGATTTCATGGGGCAAGTTGTGAGCGGGGTGGTTAACAAGTGATAAGAAATCCTGCTCTATCCTCTCAGTTTGGAATCAAAATGACAAGATCTGCAGATTTCTGGGTGTGTTTGAGATGCTGTGGGGTTGGGGCAGAGGGTGAAGGCAAAGTAAAGCAGATATTTTCAGCTCTAATTGCTGCCTTGTCCTTTCAGGAAGGAATTTGCGGAACTGATGGAGAAGTACGGCTCCCACAGTAATGCTGGATCAGCACGCAGCTCACCCACTCCCCATGCTGGTGGTGAGAATCACAGGCTCAAGGGGTCTGACCGAGGGACACTGCAGTGTCATAGATTGAAAATCCTCTTGATTTGCCTTCAATTTGCAGGTCAGGATGTATATCGCCATTCCTTTGCTGTCAAAACCCTGGAATTCCTTCCATAACGGCAAGGTGGGTCAACCTACAACACGTGGGCAGTAGCAGTTCCTGAAGGCAGCTCAACACCATCTTCTCAAGGGTAACTAGAAATGGGCCATAAATGCTGGGCCAGCCAATGATGCCCAGTTCCCATGAGTGAATAAAAAAAATCACCACTCATTACAGTGCTGCATATTAATTGAATCTTTTAGATTATCCCTCTGTGCTATCAAGCTATTTAAGACAAAGAGGATTTTCAATCTATAAGTATAGAGAGCACTGTAAGAAAGAGACTGCGTTGAAGGTTTATACAACGATTCACTAGTTTCTTCCAGTATATTCCAATCTTCTAGATCTGTGTGCCTGTACCATGGAATATCATGCCTTTTCTGGATCAGTGCAGTACTTTGTAGAATCAGATATTATTCTAGATTAATGTAAAACAACCCAGAACAGGACGTTACTTGAGATGTGTATTGTAAACGCTGACTGTTATAGATCATTGTGGTAGTACATATGGAGACTGACTATTGGGAAGCAGCACACAAGTATGACCAGACATTTCAGAAAAGTGAGGAAATATGCAGCATTATCGCTTGTTCTGGCCAGTTTGCAACTGAACTGACTGTTCTAGAGTGAAATGGGTGATGTTATGAATTGTGAAAATACCTGATTCATTGATATGGTGCTACCATGTGTTTTTGCTGTCCTTGAGTTTGACCAAGATGAAGAGTGAGTGAGCAATCCAGGGTGACTCCGCCAACTGTTTTCTCAGACAACGGCTGAGGTTTATATATGTGTTACCAATATTTTTTATCAACGTGCTTGGACATATTTATGACACACCTCTAAGACTGGCGGGACTTGAACTTGGACCTTCTGACATCTGCCTTCAAATTGCCAACATCCTAAGGGGCTTCAGAATAGATTGAAGGCTTTCTAAGTAGGGCATGGGGTGGACCAGAGGGGACAGGTGTTGAGGGAGACGTCAAAGATAGGAAAAAAAGGAGAAAGTATTCAGGAAGGTGGATTCAGAGAGCAGGACATGATGCTGAGGTTTTACTGCTAATGGTTAATGGGGAAGACGAGATTGGATGGATCACAGTCAGTGGAGGGTGTGTGTAGTTGGGATTCTGAGGTGAAGGAGTTGTGCAGGGTTAAGGGGAAAAGGCACAAAGTCAAACAGCTCAGAGAATGAGTGCAGACATGATAGGATGAATGGCCTCCTTCAGCACCATAATAATTCTGTAATTCTGAGTTTGCAGGCAGTGTGTGTAGTGAGCCCTCTAGGGATTTGCAAACAAGGGCAAGAATTGGTGAGGCTGAGGTCATGTGCCCAAAGACAAACAAAGCAGAAACCACAAACACTCAAAACAGAAAACCTTTCAAGATGTTCTCTTGTCTCACTCAGGTAAACATCTAGAGAGTACGTCATCGACATCCTTGTCCAGCTCCCCGAGCCCGCAGCATTTAAGCCCGAAAGATATTGTGGCTAACAACAGTGGGATTGTCACTACAACTGCAGCAGCAACAACAACAAGGTAATCATCTCCTCAGCACCAAGCAGGTTCTGAGCTTTTCCAGTAGAGAATCTGATGGCCTGGCCCTTGTGGGTCAGTTTTCCTATCTCACCCTCTTTGTCAAATGCTGTTCCTGTCAGCACTGAGCAGTGGACTGTGATATCTGCTGCCTGACAGAGGAGTTGATAATATGGAAAGGTATTGCTGACTTGATCTTCCTAATCCAATGGCTTATAGGACAATGCCCTCATCCCTGGAATCGGCCCTTCTGCAAACTGCTTCCAATGCAAGTCTATCTCTCCTTAAGGATGGGGACTGAAACTGTACACAACACTCAAGGGGTTTTCTCACCAGGGTTCCACTCAGTTCTTTGGAATAATCCTGTCTGCATTATTAGTCTAGTTATTGTTATAGTGTCCCGACAGTCTTACCAGACCATAGGGCTGCTCTCTCATGAGAATGCGAGGACTGATGGTGCTTTATTCTGAGGCTCACCAAGTGTTAGGTGAGGGCAAGGCTGAGAAGATAGAACCTTCACAGTAACCTCGGCTGCTACAGGAATTGAACCCAAGCAGTTGGCGTCACTCTGTATTACAAACCAGCCATCCAGCCAACTGAGCTAACTGGTAGAATTAAGAAAAGCAATATAAGAGGAACTTTTTCAAACAATAACTGGTTAAGGCCCAGACAGCAGTGCCTGAGAATGCAGTGAGGCAGATTCAATTGAGGCTTTCAAAAGGAAATTGCATGTTATCTGGAGAGGAACAATGTGCAGGTTTGCATTGAGAAGTGGGAGAATATCACAAAGTGAGTTGCCGGTTTGGTGAGTGAGTGCAGACACAATGGGCTGAATGGCCTCCTTCTGCTCGAACATTCCTGGTGACGCTCCTGAACCTTAAGAGCATCCGATTACGAGCAGAGAGTTTGATACCTGTGTTGATTTCCCCTTTTCATTCAGGAACTCTCCTATTCAGCTGATCTCTATTCCCAAAGTGACAAGCCTTGGCTTGATCATTGTGGGTGGGACCAACAAGCCTGAGGGACCAATGGTGTGTGTTCAGGAAGTGATACCAGGAGGAGATTGCCATAAGGTCAGTGCTGACGGACATTATTCAGTTAAAAATATGTAAATATTCAGTTTTGCCAGGGGCAGATTTATGAAATTGAATTAACAGGAATCGACCGTGCATTGTTTCATTTCACTTTATGATCTCCATTTAAATTCTGTTCCTTTGGGGACTTACCAGAAAAACAACAACAAATTGCAATTCATAGACTCCCAGCAGTGTGGAAAGAGGCAATTCGCTCCCTCATGTCAGCACCGAACCTCCACCAGACCCCTATCCCCACATTTACTATGGCTAATCTACCTACCCTGTACATCCCTGGACACTATGGGCAATTTAGCATGGCCAATCCACCTAATCTGCACATCTTTGGACTGTGGGAGAAAACTGGAACACCCAGAGGGAACCCACAAGGACACGGGGAGAACGTGCAAACTCCACACAGACAGTGACTGAAGGCTGGAATCAAACTCAGGTCCCTGGTGCTGTGAGGCAGCAGTGCTAACCATTGAGCCACCGTGTTGCCCTAAGATGCCCTTAGATGACAGTTTTAAATGAGTAAGATGTCCAGGTCTCACGGTGCTTCATAGGAGTGTTAGCAAGCAATTTTTGACAATGAGCTACTATTGGAGCAGCTAATGAAAAGGTTATTCAAAAAAGGAGCATCTTATCAGTAACGAGGGGAGGTAGAGAGCTTCAGGGAGCAAAGTGCAAACTTTAAAGCTTTGGCAACTGACTCTGTTGACTCTGGTAGACCAATATAAATTACCAACAGGCCAGAATTGGAGAAGCACGGAAATGTCGGAGAGAGTGCCGCACTCTCCGAGGGTCAGTACTGAGGGAGCACCGCACTGTCGGAGGGTCGGTGCTGAGGGAGCGCCGCACTGTCGGAGGGTCAGTGCTGAGGGAGCACCACACTGTTGCAGGGTCTGTGCTGAGGGAGTGCCGCACTGTCAGAGGGTCAGTACTGAGGGAGCACCACACTGTCGGAGGTTCAGTGCTGAGGGAGCGCCGCACTGTCGGAGGGTCGATACTGAGGGAGTGCCACACAATTGGAGGGTCAGTGCTGAGGGAGTGCCTCACCGTTGCAGAGTCAGTGCTGAGGGAGTGCTGCACTGTCGGAGGGTCAATACTGAGGGAGTGCCGCACTGTCGGAGGGTCAGTGCTGAGGGAGAGCCGCACTGTCGGAGGGTCAGTACTGAGTGAGTGCCGCACTGTCAGAGGGTCAATACTGAGGGAGTGCCGCACTGTCGGAGGGTCAGTACTGAGGCAGCACTGCACTGTCGGAGAGTCAGTACTGACTAATTTCAAAATTTATTCAACAAGGTTTCAAACCTTAAGACATTTTACTGTAACAAATAAACGTGCAGCAAAATTGAAGAGAGTATTACTGGGGTAGGAGGGGTCTTTGATGATGTTGGCAGCCTTTCCGTGGCAATGAGACGTGTAGGTGGAGTCCATGGGTGGGAGATTGGCTTCCGTGATGGTCTGAGCTGTTACACAACTTTCTGTAGTTTCTTACGGTCCTGGCCAGAGCAGTTG